CAGAGATCCCTTCAATTGTTCAATTTCTTTATATAACTCATTAATTTTATTATAGTGACTTTCTCGAAATATCAGTCAAATTAATGATGATAATAAATTCTCTCAAATTACAGACGAAAACAATGTATCTAAATCTGCATCGTCTAATGAGCCTGAACGTTCAAAACAGGGATCTAACATAAGTGTTGATACAAATTTAGGTAGAGTTCCTCGAAAAGAACAAAGATATGTAGTAAGATCTACATCTTCACCTCGTTTTACGAAGAAACGTGGTATAGTTATTCGTCGCTCAAGTGCCAAGATTGTGCCAAAACATGGATCAGAGACATCGGAAGATTATCAACGTGCACCAAAAACACCGGTTAAAACAGTAGAGATATCTAGCGAACTGGACGAAATAGGTGCCCAATTTCAAGAAACTCTTACCGAATTTTCTAAAAGATACCAAGATTCAACTGTTGCACTCGCTGAAAAATCTTACCTTTTGAAAAGAAATCAAGAATTATGGCACACTGTAGCTGCCAAAGAGGAAGAAATAGAATATCTTAAAAATGAATTATGGCAATCTGGAATCAAAATTCAAGGTTATGAATCTGATCTTAAAGAAATTATCGAACAACAACAAGAACCTCTTACACTCACTCAGGAAGACTTAATACGTATCGAAAGGGAAATAGATGATCAAGAAGTTTTAATTAGCGGATATCAAAGAGAAAACGACAAATTGGTTGGTGAGATAAAGAATTTGACTGAAAGGCTGCGAGTCACCGAAGAAGAACGAGAAAGTCACTATAATAAAATTAATGAGTTATATAAAGAAATTGAACAATTGAAGGGATCTCTGCATGAACAGGAGACTAAGGAATTAGTTCCAGATGGCACTTTGCGACAAATCGAAGATATGAAAAAAGAAATTGAACGGTTAAAAGAAAAGGAAATATCCTATGAGTATAAGGAACTTGCTTTGAAGGAAATGGATGGATTAAAAAAAGAATTGAGCGCACTTAGAGATATAGAGAGTGAATATATGCTCAAAGTTCACGATTTGGAGCATCAATTGGCTGGAGCCAATGAAGAAATTGAAGAGATCACACGATCTAAAACAGAGTCATTGGAAAAATTTACCGAAGATATGAACATAATGAAATATACGTACGAATCACAAATTGAGAACGTGAAAAAAGAGGCAATTTCAAAAGAAGGGAAAGAAACTCGCTTCCGTAAACTTCAAAATGCCCTCGAAAAAATTGAAACCATAGCAGGATCATATCCGGAGGTAACTCAAGTATGTACTGAATTACGAAGAATCAATCTTCTTCCGCCTAAAAAAAGGCGCAAGTCAGCAGCAGATGTGTCTAAAGACGTATATGGATACAGTACCAAAGAAGCACGATCAACCCATTCACCCACAACCAAAAGTCTTAAAAGAAGTACATCT